ATAAATAGTCATGTTCATGTTTAAGTTCAGATTAATCAGGTAGTTATATTCCAAGTTCGACTATTAGTCGGTAAATTATTTGGTTAATTATTGCAGTAACTGAATAAGTTTCCAGATTTAATTCCAATTCGATTATTTAATTAATGAGTTCGGAATTAATAAGTTAAAATGACGAATTATTCGAAATATCAATATTCGGATTAATCGTCCAAGTCAGGCATATCTCGTCATGTTAATAATAATATAAATCATGATTTGGTTCCAATTTAATAATATTGTCGAGTATTATTTTCCGGAACTAATTATTTCAGTTGAGATTACCCGAAATTATTTTCGACGTCTCGTTCACGTTCGGAATAATTTTGGTAATTTAGTATCATGTCTAATTGAGTAATTAGACATTTAAGTAAGCTTAATTAAGTACCCTAATCTAATGTCGTGAGCAATTAGGAGTTGTGGAGCAGATTTCCCTTTTTCTTTCCTAAAGCCGTAGCCATTTCATTAAAGGAGGGAAACTTCCTTTTTGAGTTAGCATGAGGTGGCCAATAAATTGATGAGTAATCATCTCAAATTAATCCTAAGCAACCAAGTGGCATAAGGAGAGTTAAGCAACAAGGCACCACATCACCCTAATTTATTCTCCCTTCCATACGGTTTTGTATTTAAAGGGGTACTTGGGAAAATTTTCCCCACTTTCTTCAGCACATATCATATATATATTGTGAGAGTGAAAGTAGTGAGATTTGGTGAGAAGCCACCGCAAGCAAACAGCACGCACGCGAGAAGCTTAGAGCAACCGTACCGCACGCACCGAGAGCATCATCCACGCACGGAGGCTTTAATTATCTCGACAAGTTAGTACGATCAGTCGAGGGTTCAAGAAGGTAACTTTGTTTTACCTTGAGTTATGTTAGCTCCGGTAGTATTATGATCTCATTCATGTTACGGCTTAAGCCGTTTGTGCGTACGTGTAGTCCATTGAGAGCACGATCATGTTTTATTCAAAATATCTCGAACAAGCTTTGCGTATTCAGTCATTATGTGCAATATCATGTTTATTCAGCTTGAGTTGTTTGAAAGAATTTTCATGTTTGAGTTTTGATTTGGCTAAAGTACGTGGCCGTGCACCTAGCACGTGCCACGGGCCGCTCATGCGTAGTAAGTACGCTAAGAAACCATTCTACCGAACATTCAAGTCCATTTAATCAGTAAGTATCATGTATTGAGTAGTCATGTGTTAATTGCCGAGAAAAGATCTAGTGTGGTCGTGAAATGGCTTAACGCCGTCGGCGGCGCACGGTGCGCACGCCGCGGCCGAGTCCCGCTTTTAGTGCAAGATTCATGTTTTCAAGATTAATTCAGTATTTATGTTCATGTCATGTCATTTGAAGCTAAAGTACTCGAGAGTTATTGCCGGACGGCCGGCAAGGGCCGGACGTATACACGATGCCGCACATAGCGGCTGTGCGTGCCGGCAGTCAAGCAGTACGGGCTGCCAGTGTGTGCGCATGCCCATGGCAGCGGCACATAGCGCCCGTAACGGCAGTCAGTGGTTGGCAATGCACGTACGCACTTGCCACGCCCAGTCGAGCACGCTAGCGTGTGGTAATATCCGCCAGCACGCAGCGTCGCACACCAGTGGCCTCGGCAGCACCTAGCAGGCCGCCCGAGTAGCCAGCACCGTGGGTATCGCACGGCAGTGCTGCACGGTGCCAGTCATGTCAGTCAGCGCCTGTGCGCGCTCTTTAGTGCCCAGTTGCACGTCGTGGTGTACGGCAACACCCGACAGTGCCCAGTCAGGTAGCAGCCGATGCGCATAGCATTCAGCAGCACCTCAGGTCATGCCCAGCGTTGCCCAGCAGCCAGCACCAGTGGCCAAGCCAGGCAGCGCCCGTGCGCGCAGCACTCGGCAGGCTGCTGACGGAGCCAGCGACCAACCGCCCGGCTCAACAGACCGGCGGTCCGGTCCAAACCGATTCAGACCGGTTCAGACAGGCTGGACCGGTTCAGCCCCTATTTTTATGATTTAGTTACGGTTCATGTTAGTCTCATTTTCAGTTAAATATTTCCGGGTTCAGTTCAGTTCAGTAAATTAATATCAGTTCAGTTCCGTATTTTGCCGAGTTCAGTTATACCGGTTAAATCTAAATATCATGTCAAGTTCAGTAGAGCATCTTAACATAATTAATCAGTTAATTTATCAGTCTGAGCATAGTCATTAATAATTGTTTATATTATATTTCAGTTTGATCAGGCATCAGCACTACCTTCAGTTTCACGGATCAGGTGGAGACTCAGACTAAGTACTACGTTGATTTTAATTACGGTACCATGTTTGAGGTATGTATTTCATGTCATGTATCCGCTCGGAATGGTCGCCGGTCCATTCTGGGTTCTAGTGGCCTTAGTCTGCCCATTAGAGTGTGCACATGGTGTCCGGTATTAGTTTGTGCCGGCAGATGAGGTAACGGTCATGGTTCACGTTCAGGTTCATGTTCATGTTATTACCAGTTTCATGTTCAGGTTATGTATATACCAGGATCATGATATTGTTATTATATTCACTGTTTACTTTAGTATGAGTTTCCACGGAGCACAGTGTTATAGTGCTCACGACCCACTTTTATTATATTTTTCAGGTCAGGATGTCGGACCGGGGGTGTGAGATGACGGATACTTCAGGACTTTTATGTTTATGACTGTATATATTTTGACGATACTACGTTTCCGTTGATTTTGATGTTTTGACGAACTTATCTTTTGATCAGACTTTCAGATAATTAATGTTTTCAGTAAACCATAGATTTTGCCAAAAATTAAAATAACGGTTTTTCAGAATAAATCACGTTTTACGGTAGCACCCCGAATCAGTTTTTGCAAATTAAAAAGATTTTATTTTTAAAAGACTTTGCGAAATTACGCACTCTGATTTCACGATAAGGCGGGGTGTTACATGAGGTACTTCGCACGACCTATCATTGGAGACAACACCTCGTGCCTCGTGCTCGGGGAGGCGGCCCGAAACTATGATCTCAAGACCATTCACCTAAACCAACTCCCATCATTCTATGGCCTCGCCCATGAAGATGCCCTCAACTTCATCCGAGACTTCTATGCATCCGTCAACACATTTCCCCTCCAAGGTCTAACCAAGAACCAACTCCGAATGAGGTGCTTTCCATACACCTTGAAAGATAGAGCAAAAACTTGGTTCATGACATTGCTTCCGAGCTCGCTTGATACGTGGGAAGCCTTTTACGAGAAGTTCATGGGCAAGTACTATTCGCACCAAAAGACCACCAACCTCCGGACCCAAATGGCTAGCTTTAGCCAAAACATCGGTGAAACTTTCCACGAAGCTTGGGAACGATTCAAGGGCTATCAACTCCAATGCCCACATCATCACTTTTGCCTCGGTGTGCTCAACCAATTCTTCTACGATGGTCTCCACCAAACTCTTCAATACATGGTCGATCATGCGGCCGGTGGAAACATAGGGAGTCACACGGCCGAGGTGATTTATGAGCTATATGAGATGTTGAGCGAAAATTCATAAAGGAAGAGCGTTCGTAAGAGGGCCTCCGTTAATGAGGCTACAGAAACCACCGGGTCCTCGAACGATGTCGTGCTTGCCAAGCTTGACTCGTTGGAGGAAGAACTCAAGCAACTCCGGCTAAGGGATGCCAAGGCGACTCAAGTGGTAATGGCCGAGGTGTGTGGGTGTTGTGGTGAATCGGGACATGGAGGCCATGAATGCCCGAGGTGTTGGAACCCATGAGGATCTCGATATGCACAAATCACGGACAAACATTCAACATAAACCTATGCGCAGTGGATCTAAAGGTTTGATGAAGAAAACTTACTGCTTAAAATTTATGTAGATCTGGCTGGCCCGAACAGTTGACCGCAAATCAAATCTTCTCGGAATCGAACAAACTTGACCAACCCGAAAAGCTGACGTCACGGCGAATTCAACGGCATTGACCGGTCGGAAATCGGAGAAGTCACGCGCTCTCACGCGCGTCTGCAAGCTCCAGCGACTGCTTCCTTCCGGCGGCGCGTGCGGCGGGGTCCGGCGGCGATCTCGACGGCGATCTCTTCGTCTCGTCGTCCTGGTCGTCGTTGTATGGTCACTTGCTGGTTTTGGTCTCCGGTTTGGATATATGATTGGAATCTCTATATACCTTAAGATCTTCTACTGTATTCTCAAACAGCTTTCTAGATCTTGTATCAGTGGAACACAAGAAATAGAAGAACTCCTTGGATGAGAGAGAAAGAGAGCTGGACGTGTTTCCCAAGGTGTGAGATTGTTCTGTTTTCTTCCATGAGCCTAATGCTGTATATATAGAGCTACAGTAGGGACCCTGAGGAGAATAGGATAAGGGTTTCTAATATATTAATACTGTGGAGCAACCCCACAATTAATATATTAAGGGTGTGATTGGTTGCAAAAGGTTGATTGGGCTTGATATAATATTCTTGATTTTATCAAAGGCTATCAAACAATTCAGTTAGCCCATTAACTTGTTTGGTTGAGGGTTAGTTTTGAAGTTAAGATTACTCTTTTGCCCTTTACTTATAATCAAATTTTCATATCTTGCCCCACACTAAAATTTAGATTTACATTGCAAGTTCATCAAACAATTTCAAATTCTTCTACCTATTTTAACATTGATATTCATATACCTGATTTTGTTTTGAAAAAACAATGGCAAACCCCTTTAAATCTCAATAATTCCTTTGATCATGATAAATAAACTCCTAATCCTTTACAAGCTACTATAAATCTTGATTTTATTAAAAATAAATTGAGAATCCACGGTCAGATTCTCAATGGCGTGAATATAATCTTTTTTTTTATTTTTTTTTTTTTATCAAGCAAGGTAGAATAACATAAATCAAATTCTTCATTTTTTTGTTCCCAAAATACAAGCTTTGTTGGACAATTACTTAACCACATCTGCAACCTTGAGCTACTGCTCGTCCGCCAAACCCTCAAATCAGCCGCCACACTTTCCCCGAGAGCCACCATCTACGCCGCCTCGATTCTTCGTAGTATGCCGACCCCCGACGTCTCCGCCATCTCCCAGCGCGCCCACTTCGCCCATAATTTCTCGGCCCTTGTCGACTTCTACTCGAAATTGGGAGACAGACGGCGGCGCTGGATATGTTAGCCTCCCTCATAGGTGGATAGGGTTACAGGAAGGGGGAGAAGGGGAAATTGGTGAAGAATTTGGGTGGGTACTGGGGAGGGTTACGGGAAATTAGAAAAGTGAGGAAGAAATTAGGGGTGGATATTTATGTAAATTTAAAAGAAAATTTGTGGTGGATTACGTATACCACCTAAGGGGCCTGATGTGGTATCTCAATTTTGGGTATTATTGGACCGGGCTTTGCACATTTCAAGGGCCTACCTTGGTTGAACCAAACACGTTAATAGACCTGAAATATTAATAAATAGAAGGATATCACTCCTTATCACTCCAACCAATCACAACCTAATAATATTAAAGTCCACCACAATAATATTATTGCACTCCCCTCACCTATCCCAAGTTACATTTGAGACTTCTTATTATAATTATCCGATTTACCTCCCCATGTTTAAGATATAATGTCCATTAATTAATTCGATCAGTAATAATCAAGAATTAATTAATATATTATATTACCGAAGCTAGC